ACATTAATGCGAAACGGTGAAGCTATGAAAGCCACGTAGCGGTTGAGAAGAAAGGGTACTGAGCTTAATGCAGACATATAACTAATAATCGAAAAGGAATATACATCTAATTACCCCAACTTATATTTACATGAGTGCTATTAAAATTCTCTTTAGCCTCTCTCTTTTCTTCCTTGAATGAGTTGTCCGTCTATTCGGGGTGAACTACCGACCAGGATATGCAGAATTTGAAGAAAATAGTTGTAAAGAGCTTTAAAATGGATTATCGGAAAACGACCGTCATGTAGAGATACAAAAAAAATTACGGCTTACTTGGTACAGTTTAATGCTTCCAAAACACAGTATTGTACCTTGAACAGGAACCGTTCAGCACGGCTATTACGGAGGTATCCTGAAAAGTGACATTTTGTCGTTTTTTGGCATTTCTTAGGTTTTTTGTGACATAACGTTTTTCTACAAGATGTTAGCACAAGCTGTTGTGAACTTGTTGAAACCTCGTTTTGTAGCTGTACATGTTGCTTAAACGTCAGCGGACAGTGATCATAGCGAGCAAACGTAGAATGAACTATTTGAACACTAAAAACTACCTAGTCTGCAAGATGACATTTCGTAGGTTTTTTTTACGTTTTTTGGCCTTTTTACATAATACTCCTATGGTTTCATTGGATGGCCGAGTTCTGTCAAAAACCCGTTCATTTCGGCTGGTCAGCTGCTGGAAAAAAGCTAGTCTATTTGTTTAGGGCTAGGGTAAGACCAAGCCTCGAGTGTTGCTCACACGTTTTGGGGTGCTGCCGCCCCAACTAAATTATTAATGATCGAAGCTGACCGGAGGAGGGCTATCCGACTGTTGGATGACTCTTCTCTAACAGACCCCTTTGCACCGGCACGGCGGGCCGTCGGCGATCTAGCTCTCTTCTAGCGCTATACCAACGGACTTTGCTCCTAAAGGTTCTCCTCTCTGACCCGCCTGACTTCGGTCTCCCATCCTAGCTGTGTCGAACTCCGTACATCCAGAACTGGCCGATACGACAGCTCCTATTTCCTAAGGTGTCGATATTGTGGAACGATCTACAAAATGAAGACTCCTCTCAGTTCAAAAATCGGATTAACAAAGTTTCTTTGGAATTCTCATAGCAATCTGGGCCTTTTGGCTTCTGCCTGCGCGCGTACTTCGGCGTGAAAAAAAAACTATTCTGTCAAAGTAGATTAAATCAATTTCATGTATTAACAAAGAACTATACATTTTTAATTGAGTGCTCTATGGTGGGGCTTTACGGAACGAAATGACAGTCGAAATCTTGCTTTAGCGGTTTTTCTGTTATTACAAAAGATTCAAGCATAATAGTAAACCTAAAATAATAGCTAAAAATGTAATCTTTCGTCGTAATTAAAAACTAATAAAAAATTCATTCATATATGCTTAACAGTTTCTATAAATTCCTGAAGGGCCCGATTTTACTAACAGCAGATCAGCATTCTTGATCAGGATCAAAATGAACCAGTGGGAAAGCATCTTTCCAGTAATGATTCTAATGATAAGTCATTTTTTTATAAAATATTTCTCAAGCTAACAAAAAATTTACGATTTATGTAAGAAGGGCCTCTAATCCAAACAATGAAATCGAGAAATTCTTAATAAGTCTACAAAAACATATTTTTCCACTTGATCCGGAGACCAAGCTAAGCCAGTTTTCGATGCAGTTTTCCTAACACGCTTTCTAGATGGCCATTTTTGATCTTAGGTTTTGATTTCTCGATCAAGTGAAACAATCCCAGCTAACAATTATCACTCCTATTAGAGTTGCAAGAATGATTGTACAGTATTCCTTAAACAGCACTGTTTACTGTAAGAACATTAGCAAAACCCTCTTAGAACAGCTATACAAGCGGAATGGGGACACCTAATAGGACACTTCAGTCATTTAAGAGGTTGTATAAGGGCTACAGGTAACAGTTATACAACAAAAGTGTAAGCATCTTGCAGCCGCCATAGGACATTTGCGTCAGTGCAAGATTCAGTTTTTGTCAACTATGCAACTATTCTGTTACGTGATTCTACTTTATTGCAACCAAATTATTTCTTATGTAATGTAAGACGAAGTGAAGAATATATAACTAACACATTACAGTCATCTTTTTTACTTATATATTGGCCATTGTGAATTTCACACACAGGTATATGATAAACTTCTACACTTTGATATAGGGCTATTGAATTACTTGCGCAGCAAATTTTATTGTGATTATCGTGCAAATTAGTGACCCAATTTCTACGGGCTTCGTATTTGATTCATATTTTGACAATGATCAGTAGTATGTCTAGATTTTAAGATGGAAAACTGAACTTATAAGCGTTAAATCTTCCACAAATCCTATATTTAGACACAATTACACTAATTTTTATCACTATATATCTGTAATTTCGAACTGAAACATAAATATTTAATATTAAATGGAGGAATAAATGTTTGCCCAATATGGCGGGTGGTTGTGTACAATCATGGCATCGTCCATGTTGTCTTTAGGTTATTAGAATATTTTGGTGTTGCCTGCAGGTGTTATACAACAATTTGACAAACGTCTGAAATGAAATACCGACAGAGTCGAATGATTTACCCAGAATTTGTACCAGATCTATATCTTCTGTTTGAGCAGTTGATAAAACCTTCTGAACCAATATGCATGCGTTGTTGGTCTTAAAACACTGGTTATGGCATTTTAACAAAAATTTTACAGCAGAAAGTTAGGTTATGGTGAAGTTGTATACCAACATATTTAGCATATGTACAGCCTTTAACAGTTACTAAACAACAGTTGTATAAGTGCTTCCGTTGGGAGCAATTTGTTGGCTAAGGTAGTAAATTGCACAGCAAAACAACAAGGCTCGGGTTTGTTTTATAAACGTTACCATGGATGCCACAACACAAACATTTTGACTAACGTTTATGCAACAGTTAAAAATTTGCGTTATAAGGTGTTGTATAACTATGCTATAAGAATATTTTAAACACCTCATTTTAGAGCAAATATGTTGCAGAAAGCAAATTTGCATTTCACACAAAATTAAGCCAGCATTTTGGTGTTCAGGCAACAACAATAGAGAGCTTTTATGGCTGAACGGTTCTTTTACCAAAAGCTTATACCACTACTTTGCTTGTTTTGATGTTTTTGTAGCGAAACCAGGTGATTGAAAGAGGCTCTTCTTACACAACTCTTATATGTTTTCGTTATTTTGACAGACATTTTAGAAGAAATCGACTATATTTATTTGATTCATTACTACAAATACGACGCCTTCTCATCGGTCCATTTTGATCCCGATCAAGAACCTTGATCCCGCGGATCAATAGTTAAATCGGGCCTTAGTATTGCTATTTTGAGAAAATGATCTTAATTGATCAGTCAAATATACCCACATTAGTCTCATCCTCTCGGTAGAGCTAACCATCGTACTTAAAAAGATGCCAGATTTTCTTGAATCAACCATGCAAAATAAGGTCGCCCGCGGTATATGTATTTTTACCTCACAAAACAATTTAAATAAGTCCGTTGAGCTTTGGAACTCGTTTAATGACAGAAGTACTTGAAACATCCAGACTCCTCAGAGCTTATTTTCGTCAGAAAAGTTATGCAGTACTAGTAACTAACTTGAATTTGCTGAATTTATGAAGGTGCTTCCAAGGAACCTACCTATATTGTTTTCTTTATTGGCATCCTAACATTACGTAGGCGCATTAGCTACACAACCGTGCTTTGGGAGCTTAATTAGTGTCCATTTTATATGAGATCAAATTTTTGATACCAAAGGCCCGGCTTCATAATCATCCATCAAATTTTTTTGCATTTTTTCTTCAATCCTAGATTGATAATAAACAATGGCTCTAAAATTGTATGTGAATAATCCACTCTTATGGAACAATTGAGCGGGTGTTTGCTTTTATCTTATCACTTTCTATCTTCAAAATATTTTCCTTTTTTTTTTTAATTCAATTTGCTGCAGAATGAGGTTTCATGAAATTCATAGATTCTTCGAAGAGAAAAAGTGATAATAATAGAAGTAATCACCCGCAAACATCTATTATAAAAGAGGAATTTGGCATACAGTTTCAGAGCTGTATTTGTTATTATAAGTTACGATTGGAGAAAGGAGGCACAAGAACCCGCATGAAACATGCACTTTTTGAGAAAAAAAATTGATAATGTGTTTCTTAGTCATCTCTATAGCCAGCATGACATAATACTCGTATATTAAAATGATTTGGAATACTGCTATAAATAGGAAGTCGAAAAAAGTGACGTGTGACCTCAAGACAAAGATTCAATTACAGCAAAGCAAAATACGGTCGGATGCAAATATTTGGAGCAAATACATTGTCATGTCATCGCACTGCTTGAAGAAGTATTTTGTGCCATGTGAATCCAATTAATAGCTATTATATACACATAGTAGAACAGTTAAAGATGAAAGACGAAAATTTGGAAGCAAAGGAAGGATGGTTGTTCAATGGGATGTCATCTTTACTGATACAGATTGTGAACAAAAAAAGTTCTAGCGATCAAAAATAAAAGAATCTATTGTCGGATTATACTCGATATAGGAAAATGAAAAAGCGCAAATCATGTAACTTCTTTATTCAATTTTAACATAAGTGTCACATTTCTGAATATCTGATGGGGTTCGTGTGCTCTTGGTTTGAAAAGGAGGACAAATAAATCGAGGCCCAACAAAGCAAATGGAAGATGCAGTATTTTTTTAACAACATCTATTAACTCTAAGAAACAACACTCCCCAACAATGATAGAATAACGATATGGTTGTTCTTTATACGCATTAGGTGGTGGTAGATACCCTAAACCCTGGTTTACATTGGTATAATTAGTAGTAGAGTTCACTAGCATACTTTTTTCCTGAAATACTCTACTATGCTCATTTTGGTAGAGTAACTGTATTTACTTTTGCTAGTAATTTGAAAAGATAGTTCGATTTAACATGTGTAATAATGAACAAGCAGGTTAGGCAAAAATATCGAGCCGTTTTAAAAAAATGTTTAGTGCAAGCTGTAGATATTTTATTAAATGAAATTGTGGAAGTTATAAAGGAAGAAACTAGTAAACAAAAAAGAATTTGGGTAAGGGATTGGATTAAAAGACGTGATAAATTGGGAGCATCTGCCAATATTTTAAGAGAACTGGCTTTGGAAGACCCAGAAGAATATAGAATGTGCTTGAGAATGACACCTGAGAGTTTTGAAACACTGCTGAATTATATTAAGCCGCATATTCAGAAAATGGACACATTCATGAGGGATGCAATACCAGCACCTGTTAAATTAGAAATTACTTTAAATTTTCTGGCCACAGGCAATAGTTATCGTAGTTTACAACACCTCTTTCGAGTCTCAAAACCAGCAATAAGTATTTTATTCCTGCAGTATGTGAAGCAATGAACGAAGCCTTACACGAATACTTTAAGGTAAGTTTTAATAAATAAATACAATAATATGAGTTTATTTTATTATTCAAAATGTATTTCAACATTTTTATTATTTCAAACAAATTATGCTGATTGCCAAGCTTTAGAAAGTATGTTACTTAATGTTTCCTGTCCACTGCTTTCCTTAGAAAATTGTAATTGTTGCTCGAAATGTTCCTCGTTCGGATATTGAGATGAAGTAAAAGTAAATGTTGGTTCAGACGGTACTAGTTGGTGAAGCGTACTTTATTGTTCCTCTTGAGATTGTCGTGAGTAGAGATTCCCATCCAAGATTACCTGGTCCTCTACGCTGTTAGAAGGAGACGTCAATGAGTGCTCTTCGTTCAATGCTTGTGAATGAATCTCGGAAGGGGTGTTTACCGCCACGGAAGTCTGTACTGCCTTTAGTCGATACTTAGTTACCAAAGATTGTATTTCGGATTGCAACATAACAGATTCTTGTACTGGCAGCTTATTGAGACACACAGTAATATATTGCCCAAATGCTTCATTCTCGCTTATTTGACACTCGGGCTGGTTATTTAGATTCTTATGAACATTTTCTAATTCGTTCACCGCTGATCTCAAGTCATCAAGTTGCCTTTTTTTACCTCTAGATTTTGGAGTTACACGTGATACTGATTGGGACGATGCGGTTGATTGTGCTTGGTCTCGTGATAATGTAGTGTTCGCAGAAACTTTAGTATTTTCATCCACTGTATATTCTGGCCTTCCATCACTTTTGAGAGCACTCTCTTCATCCTGGCTTGCCTGAAAAAAAGTGCATTAATAAATTCATGTCTCAATATAAATCGCTTTAAAATTATTATTTTTTTACTTATGCAAGGCTGCAAAACAATTAATTAGATTTTTGCTATTTTTCTTTAAAGTTTCCATTTAAGTAAAAACAAAATAGTATTTTTTTTAAGATGTAATAGGAAAACATATTCTTCTTTCTGTTTCAGATGCCAACAACAGAAGAAGAGTGGAAAATAATTGCAAATGGATTCGAAGAGCATTGGAATTTTCCCGGTTGTTGTGGTGCCTTAGACGGGAAACACATTTTGATATTATGTCCTGGCAACTCTGGAAGCCAGTTTTTTAATTACAAAGGGTCCTATAGTGTCGTGCTAATGGCTCTAGTAGACCACAACTACTGTTTTACTTATGTGTGTATTGGCAGCCAGGGATCTCAATCTGATGGTGGAATCTTCCAGAAATGTGCACTTGGAAATTTGTTACAAAATGGATTGTTGCCTGCAGGATATTGCATTGTTGGCGACGATGCCTTTCCCTTACGACATTATTTGATGAAACCGTATAATAATTACCGAAGACCGCTCAGTATACTAGAGAAAATTTTTAATTATCGTTTAAGCAGAGCTAGAAGAATAGTGGAAACAGCTTTGGAATTTTGGTGAGCAGATTCCGAATTTTCGATAAAAAAATTAATTGCAAATTAGAAACAGTCAATAAGATAGTGCTGGCTGCATGCGCTCTTCACAACTTTTTACGAAAGACCTCACCTGCTACATATTTACCTCGTGGCTCCGTAGATGAAGAAGATATCATCACCGGCTCCATAAACCCTGGTCAATGGAGAGCCGAAATTACAGAGCTACGTAGGATGGAAAGATATCATGAGAGACCGGCAACAAACTTGGCAAATCAAATTCGAGATAATTTAAAAAATTATTTCACTAACGAAGGTGCTGTTTCCTGGCAGTACAAGAATATTTACTAAATGATTAAGTATGATATTTTTACAATTCGGAATATAATATGAGATTTGTTTTTACCATAGATTACGTAACTAGAAACAGTTATCAACATTATAGTCCACACAACAGAACTTTTTTATAAACAAATAAAAATGTTTACTAACTTGACTTTCTGTATTGCCTATGTTGTCCTGTGTAGTGCTAGAGCCTTTAACGTTTTTCATGAAAGAATCCATTAAAGCAAACCATTTAATATTCGGAACATAGACATCATTTATACCGGCACCTGACTTTTTTGATTTTTTTATCTTCCCATTTTCTTGATTATAAGTACATTTCAGATTTTTAATTTTTTGTTTTAATTTGGCAATACCAAAATTTTCATTTGCCATATATTTTACGATTTCTTCGTAGGCGGCTGATCTCATTGCCCTATTTCTATAATTAGGACTGCTGATATTCCATATACATTCGTAATCTTTGTACACCGCCACTAATTTCATAGTTTCATGTTCCGTCCACTTCATTTTTGTTTAAACGTAGTAAGCAAAATTTGAGATAAAATGTTTAACTAAAATGACTGAAGCGCACAAGCAGTCCGAAAAACACAGACAAAACCAAACTTGTGTTTGTTTACATTGGTATAGTCAACCAACAAACCAGTAGAGTAGAGTACGATTGTGGAAGTGGGGGGTGGATAGTCGAGTGTACTATTCCACACGTGCTATCCACTTTACTCTCCCCTGGACTATCTGTAGTACTCTACTGTCACTAGCACAACTTGTTAACATTATTCTAGTACTTGAATAATAAGTACTCTACCATCGAACTCTACTACTAATTATACCTTATACTAATTATACCTTCGGCTAATAACCATAGAAGTTGACGCCGTCAAAAAAAAAAAATTATACCAATGTAAACCTATCTTAACAGTCAGATACAGGATGTAGTTCATAATACCTGGAAGGCAGTTGCGGGAAAATATGAATCTTCTTGCTGCGGGGCCTCTGTACTAGTGGTAGTTGAATATAAATGATCATGCAAATAATCCCAAACTCCTCGACGCTTCAGGGAAAATATTTCTTCATCCCTTTTGTTTGCGTCGCTTTGAGCGCCTCTCAAAATCTCCGTCTTTTTTTGGCTTCCCAACACAGGGTGGCCAGTGCTCCAGCTTCCCAGTCACACCACCGCGCACAACATTTTCACAATTATAGTCAACGCCAAACAAAGTGGCGTGCACGTCATCAAGGTGGGTGTGTTGAAAAATTTACATTGTTGCCAAACTTTTTGTAAAATAATAAAATTTATTATTTACATATCTAGGTTTATAAGCAATATTAACCTCAAATGAGAACAAAATAATAGTATAATAAAATTATAGATCTGTACTTGCATAATCATTAAGTATGACAATTATTGATCAGATGACACTATGAAACTACCATATTTAATTGATAGCTTAAAGGTACTGAATAAAAATCCAAATGGGGTCCTCCAAATTTTATGCATGGTATTTATTTTACAGAATTCATACAGAAAAATGCATTCTAAAATTAGGTAAGCTACTGGTGTAAGCTTTTTCTGTACAATAAAGTTAGTCGGAGTTTCTTTCTTCAGCGCTGTCTGAATCTGAATCTTCATCACTCTCAAAGTTGATTATTAAAGGTTCGATGTCTGGTCGATCAAAAATTCGTTCTCTTTCATACCATTTAAAAATTTCTTGCTCAGTATGTCGAACACTATTTTTCCACATGTCTGAGGTAACCGTTTGTAGAGCCTCGTTCCACATATCCAAACAGTCTTTTTCACTGTTACCATCTCTACCAATATGTCTGTTATAGTAACCTTTTGCTATGCCCCAAATTAACTCAATAGGGTTAAATATACAATGGTAAGGAGGCAGACGAAGAACTTTGTGTCCATGTTGTTCCGCCAATTCATCAATCACGTATATTTTAGGTGGTTTGTTTCTAAAAAAGCAGTTATTTTAAGAATAGGAATAAACAAAAGAAATATAAACTGTCGACCAAAATATATATAATTAAGAAGCATTATGTACCGAGCAACAATACTCAATAGCTCTGTTTTAAACATTGTGTTTAAAAATGGTATGTTTTGATTTGTCAACCAGTCTTGGATATTTTTTTTTTGTCCATGCATTGTTGGGCACTTTGTTCAATATCATGCTGTGATAAGGGGCGTTATCCAGTATAATCATAGATGGACTCTCCAATTTTTCTAATAACTGATGTTGAAACCATTTCAAGAAATTGTCCTGGTTCATCTCTCCATGGTAATCGCTCAATTTTGTTTTCGAAGAAATATCGCTTCACTACCCTCAATAAACCCATTTTCATTTCCAGCATGTAATATAATGAATCTAAAATATATTAGTTTTAAATTTTATAGTGCAAATTGTGTAAAAGTACATACCTTTTACCATCTGTTTTAATAGCTTTCACGCTTTTTTGGTTTCCATTTTGCCAAGAGCGACCTATGGTCCCATTTTGAAATATCCAAGTTTCATCGAGGAAGACAAACTGGTATAAGGCCTCAACCTTGGCTTGATTGTATTGCCTTAGAAATTCCACCCTTTTCAAAGCTATACTTGGTAGTTCCATGAGCCCTCGTCGCGGATTGTCCTTAAGCCACTTAAATCCAAGATCTCTAAGCAACCGCCTTAAAGACGTGGCACTACCATCAAATAATGCCCTATCTCTTAATCGAGACCATAAAGTTTGTATCGTAACTTGTTCTTCTGAAACCATGTGTAATATGACATTATAATTTAGTTAACAAATTAATGCAAATTTCTGATAAGTTATTATAATAAGATCTTACTTTTGTGATACATATTATAGATCACTTCTCGAATGGCACTTGTATCCAATGTCGCTGTGTTGGTTACACGTTTAATATAACTCCGCTTTTTCTTGGGCGATTCTAAATTTGCATCACTTTTCACACCCTCGGAAATACGACTAAATGTCCTTAAACTAATTTTTAAAGCAGCAGCAACACGCTACAAAAAATGAAATAAAATTTCACTATTATTAATATACATTACATATAATTATTAATAACCTACCTCTTGAACAGCATTTAAAGGCAACAAAGGCCCGTTGTTGTCCCTTTCTTGCTCAAAGTAGTGCATTAACGAGGCCACGAGTTGCTTACACCGACTATTTAACTGTTTGGGCATCTTTATATACCAAAATTGCCTTTATCTACTTGTAAAATGAATAATTTTGTTTTGAAACAAACAGTTGTTGATTTACAGTATGCGGGGCCAAAGGATTTATAAAGATTTGAAATGCCACAAATTGATTCAGTGTCAAAATTAATACAAATGTCAGTTCCCAGTTTAAATAAGTTTCAAGGTGACAATGTGTCAACGCTGCGAAATCGGTTTAGTGCGTTTACATGTCGATAAGTGATTGGAGCGTTTGCAAAACATTTTATTTTGCATAATGCGTCTAAATTTATCAGAAAGCAACTTATGTGATATTTTAATAACAATTTTTATATGACTATTAACCATAATAAGAGAGTAATGACCATTTTACAATTTATATATCACATTAATATGAAACTGCAATAGAGCAATTGTTTGTGATAGAAACCTAGGCATTAGGTCGGGGAATTTTTATCGCGATGACGTGCACGCCACTTTGTTTGGCGTTGACTATACACAGATATGCCCACTACACATTTTTGTATTTTTTTAGTAATGGCTCAACAGTTATGTTTTTGAAGCTTCCTCTACTCTAACTCTATCTCCACAGTTTGTTACAGGTATCAAGATCAAGATCATCATCGGCAGTTTCGTACCAGTTTTTTGGCATTTCTCAGCCTCCAATGTAGCCTTTGCAATTGTAGTGCTTCTCCAGTTACATTCAGTTCTCATGATTTTTCTGCATTGCAGCGAACAAACAATGCACAAAATAAGCGATTCCGAAAATTACAATAAATGGAAAAACGTGCCAGACTATGTCACAAGATCTTCACAAACATTCTTATATTCAAAATCAAATTCAAATACATTTTATTTGCCAAAAAGAAAACATTCCACCGTATTATACAAAATACACTCAAACAATAATATTTTTGACAAAAAGGACAGACTCGCGATCACAAATGACCGTTAACACACAGCCTTACATAAGTAGGGTAGGTGTTTAAATGCCCTGTTGTATACTAATTTACCCAAACTGTAATATACAAACAGTATTTAGGAATTTAATGATTTAATTTATTATAAGCATGAACCATTGATATCACAGAAAAAAATATGTATTTACACACATAAAATGTCAACGTTTCGACGGGAGGGGAGCACCGGAAAGGGGGCGAAGAGCGGCAGAAAGCAACAGACGCGAAGCCACACCGACGAGCCCTCATACTAGGGATGTCTTTTAAGATTTGCATATGGAAACACAGTAGGTAATTTTAAATCACTTTATTGTTTTTCGAAGATTAATACACATCTGCATGCGCTCGAACCAATTTTCGAAGCACTTATTCCAGTCGTTTGCTGGCAGATCCAAAACGGCATTTTTGAATGCGTCAGTTGCTTCTTCTGGTGACTGGAACCTTTGACCATGCAGTCTGTTTTTAATTTTTGGCAAAGTAAGGAAATCGTTAGGACTTAGGTCGGGACTATGTGGAGGATGGTCCAATAATTCCACGTTTTCTTCCGTTAAATACTGCTTTGTTTTTTGGGCTGTGTGCGAGCTTGCATTGTCTTGGTGCAGGATGATTCTTCTTTCGGGGTTGATTTTTCAAAGCTCGGTGATGACTTTTGGCAAACAAATGGTGGTATACAAATCCGCAGTAACAGTTCTTTGCTCATTAAGAGGAATTATTGCACAAATGTCGCGACGATCTTTTTCGAAACACTTCGAGAGCGGATGACTTTTGTTGGATTTTCTTCACCTTGGAACACCCAAACAGCTGACTGTCGTTTATTTTCTGGTTCATAACAGTAAATCCACGATTTATCACCACTAACAATGCTGTACACATTTTTTGAGTTTCTGGAATTGAAACAGTCAAGCGTTTTTTGACACCAATTGACCCTGGCTGCTTTCTGCTCTTCAGTCAACAGGTGGTGTGGGGTATCCGACGAGAAACTAATTTTCTTACTAATAATTCTTCATGTAAAATTTTTTGAATTGAGGTCTTTGAGATCTTCAAGAACGCCTCAATCTCGCGATATGTCACATGTCTAGCTTCAATTATGAGTTTGCGCACAGCATCGACGTTTTCCTGGGTGACTGCCGGTTCTGGTGCACCCACCCTTGGATCGTCGCTAAGACTCACCCGTCCACGTTTGAATTCTCCATACCAACGGAAAATTGTTGACTGATGTGGTGCTTCGTTGTCGAAAACAGACAGTAACTCAGCAAGGTATTGCTGTTGCAATAATTGTCTCTGAAGGTTGTAATAAGCTATGGCGCGAAAATGTTCTCGGTTGAGTTCTATTTTTCTAATGACTTGGTGATACTTAAAAATTCACTGTAGTAAGAACACTGCACGTATTGTTGTAAAACTTTGAATTTAAGTTTACTAAAGAGTGAGGTTAAGATTCAGTATTGATGTTCGATCCGCGCGGCCTACTATGTTTCTATATGCAAAACTTAAAAGACATCCATCGTACAGTTAACCACACCGAAACACATCCACACACACATACACATCTACCATCAGACGCTCGCTTCTCCATCTTAATAAAACAATAAATTTGAAAAAGATAAATTTGAAAAAGTAAACTTTGCAATGAAGAAGCATGGCCATTATATACTTTGAGAACACTCTTTGTGACATTACTTTTACATTATTATATAGACTGTTCCACATTTGAACTGCAAGAAATGAAAACGAACGTTGAAACGCTGCAGACCTATGTCGCGGAGTAATAAAAATATTCTGGTTGTCTTGTTCCGTAATTATGCTTATAAGTTGAAAGTTCATTTTTCAAATACGGAGGTTTTCCTGATTTTATTATTCTATAGATGAAATTAAATAAATGATGTTTCCTGCGATTTAGCATATTCAGTATACACAAAATGTTTAGGTAAGGCGTTATGTGGTTACGATAAGGTAAGTTAAATGAAAATCGCATGCAGGCGTTCTGCACTTTTTGTATCGTATTTCTAGTAGTGTACGCCAAGGAGCTCCCATAAACTATATCTCCATAGTCAAAAAGCGACAGTATGAGATTCTGACAAAGGAACTACTGTTTCTTAGGCAATAAAAAAATTTTCAGTTTGGAGATATTTTTTAATCGTATGTAAGCTGCCCACAATTTTTTCTTTATGTGTGGTTCAAATGATAATGCATTATCGAAGTTTACACCTAGATGCTTTGCTTCCTGAACATTGTTCATTGTTTATACGGATATTCAAACTACGCCCAATATTTCTCCTAAGTGTGGAATTTTACGAGTAGATCCCAAAATTAAAGCTTTTGATCCAAAAGCATTAAGTTTTAAACTATGGCGTATGGCAAAACTGTTTACCTCTAACAAGTCTGAATTAATGTGATTTTCGGTTGTGCCCAAATTGTCGTTATTAATAGCAATACAAAGTTGTGAGTAATCGGCGTACTGATGATGCCTTGCATAAGCAATAGCTTCAGACATATCAGCCACATAAACACTAAACAGCAAGGGCGAAAGGATTGATCCTTGAGGGACACCTTGTTTTACAGGTTTAAATTCAGATTTGAGACAAACGAATCCTTAAGAAATCATAACACAGCTTGATCGAGTACTTAGATAACTTTTAAAAAACTTATTGCGTTAGGTGAGAATCCAAAATAGTTCAGCTTTGACTTAGGGTGGATTTCACAATTTAACAAACCATTATTCTGCACCAATAGGGTACGAGTACCAAACAGTCCGTTAAATATACCCAATCAGCCTCAAGATCTCTCCGTCAAATTTTTGGCAACAAATAGCATCAAAGTATTCAAAACCTAACCCCGTAAAATATGAAGTGACAGCTTGTCATTGAAATATTTTCAGTTTATTAAATATTATGAAATTATGTAAAACTGAGCCAAAATTTTTAAAAATGTCTGAGTAAAATCTATTGTTTCAGATTAGCTGAAGGTTTTTCCATCTTTACTGCAACTTTTGTAATCCATATGTGATTATATCACCTACTGTGTGCTTATAGTTTATCCTATATTTGCAAACTTGCACTTCCAAACCCTTACATGAAAAAGCCTTTTCACTCAAATTTTTGTTAGGTGTTGCATTTCAACACATTCATACACTTCTTTCCAGTTCCTCAACGATATTTTAACCCCACTGGTTCGAAACTGTTCAACAGTTTCAACATTTATACATACAATTGCAGTTGCAGTTTTTTGTTTTAATTTCAGTGTATAATCAGTCGCACCATCGGTGATGGTACATTCAACATAACCACGTATTTAGGGGTTCGTGCAGATTTATCGTGTACACGACGTCATCGTTAGGCGCTCCTCTGGCGATGTCCGATTGCCTTCAGGTGCCTTCTGCAGGTACCTCTTCACCACGGTCAGGAGTTGATACCAGCGCGGCTCTCGTTTTTTTTTTTGCTCTAGGCATGGCCATCCTCAATTAATCGCACAAAAAACAAGTCCAAGGCAGAAAAACACACCCGAAGACGAACACCAAAACAAATCTCTACCGCAAATTCTTCAACATCTCAAACAAAAACAACAGATGATTCACCGGCTGGCTTTGACCGTAAATCGTCATGGAACACGAGATACCACAGAATTATTATAATTACGTCAATACGAGCATAGAACAGTATAGAAAGGGCTATCCAAGGGTAAGACGAGTTCCGAAACCACCCGAATCATGTCAAAAATGGCTGTGACGTCACCAAAACGTTGACCACCACTTGAAATCACTAGCTAGTTACCATCTGGCGGCGTAACACGTGAAGGACACTGGTGTAGAAACAGCTGATCCTTAAATTCGGTTACGTTAAGTCGTGCATGAGCCCGACATTATTTTTCAGTAATTACTAATAATTTTAGGTCTATGTCTACAGTAATTGCATTATGCACCTCGGAGATGTAGGGATTAACTTGTTTTACACATATCAGTGTTTTAGGATGGGGACGACATATTGTTTTGATTGCTTTGAAGATATTCATTAACCCATGAATTTATAACAAATGATTACTATTATGATGTAAAGAGAGATGAGGAATTGGTTGGAATACATTTTATATTCTATTTTCTTGCAAATCCGCACAATTCAACAGGTATGTGTAGCTATAATGATCTCATAATATACACACAGTATATTGAACTTAACAAATTTCGAGATTGGCATGAATTAACAAACGACCAAACCTGCTGCCAAATTTAACAGCTAGAAAATCGACCTATTATTTCTCCCATTCCCATTCGCTGAGGGGATAACGGATGGTCAAATGTACACCTATAACATAAATCAAAATACATGAACGTTGTCCTGTCTTCTCTGTACAAAAGCATCATGTTGGAATCAAAAAGTGGTCTTGTTTATAATACAGTCGAATTTTCACGATTTTATTCAACATTTTAATAGAAATCACTGATATTCTGAGACCTTTGACAGCTTCCGTCAAATTGCCTTTCGATAAGGTATTTTCCTATTGGTCCATAATAATAATGTTGGTGAAATCGGCCCTAAGAGTAACAAAAGCTTTGCTTATATGTTAACCTGTTAATCATTTTTACTAGGCAAAAAGCAGCCGTTAGCTTGGACAGTCCTTATTTAACCTCAACTGGCCAATGATATCGCTTAATTGATAACAGCTTAATTGAATATAAGAGCGTACGGAATCGTCCCTAACGCTGACCTGAACGCGTTCATTACCATCAGAAAAATGTTCCTGCGAATCGGCACGTTTGAAGTTCTCCATTCGTAATGCTGTCTGTTTGCTCTAAATTAGCATGAGACGTGTCTGGCAATATAGGTGAATGCAACGCATGTAGCTACCCAATAACCGGTGTATAAGACCGAGGAACAATGGCTGCGACACCGCATGACAGATTGGACATTGTGATGCTAGGGAAGACGTAGGGGGGAATGGGGCCGACCTGTCCGTATCTAAGTCGACTCTGAATCTAAACAGGGCCCCTAGAGGCGCAGGCGGCTCGGTGTTGCAGATATCAACCTCATTGACGAATTAGTAACGGAGATCGCTTTCAGTAATTAGAGCAGGCTCGTTGATGACCGACCCTGCTCCCTTCACTGCGAAATTGTGCAACAATACAAGCCCCTCTTCTCTCCTTCATGCCCTGTGGATAGACAAACGGAAATTACGGTAGGTTAAGGTAGGAAAGCTCATGAACGCACTGCCCACAGAATGCAACACGAATTAAGAAGTTTCCTATAACCAAAAATACTGCTAGTTTCTCTTGCTTATGATAGTGTAACTGGTATCTTTCATATATGACGAACTTTTTCGATAACTTAAAGTTCAGGGAAGTGATGACATTTTGTGGATTGGGTGGTGTAGCCGATCGCCCTCGCCTCGATCGTGACGTCACATGACATAAGTTCAGTTCTGCATATCGCGTTCATCGTTAGCCCTGAAGATGACCAGTCGCAATATACAGGGTGTCCGCAAAGTTGGGGTTTTCCTTTTCAGAAACAACTACCCTTGAAATAACAAAGGTAATGTGTAGTGAAACGAGGGCAGTTGACGAGAAGGGCTAAATACGTCTCTGCCGCAAATCATCCCGCTCCAACAGAAAATGAAATCAGCTGATGCATCCAGTCCAATCGATTTAGGAGAATAAATGGTCAAATGAGCATACCGTTCACCATGCCAGCCCAAACATTCACCAAAAATGTTTGTTGAAAATGTGCCCGACGGACAGCGTGCGGATTTTCTACTGACCAAACATGAGTGTTGCGAAAGTTATTCACCCCATTACGCGTGAACGTAGATTCGTCTGTCACCAATATGCACTTCAAAAAGTCCGGATTATTGTCATGTTGATGCAACAACCACTCACAAAACCGCACTCTTGCTGGAAAATCGTCAGGTTGAAGGGCTTGTACACGTTGGACGTGAAACGGATACAGCCCCTCTTCACACAGCGTTTGACACACTTTAGTTTTTGATACTTGCACTTCTCTAGCGACGTCTCTAGTGCTTGTTGAGGGATTCTCGTCTACGCGATTACCTCTAGACGCGTGACCGTAACCGTCGGTTAAAGGTTGTATACTGACCTAACACACTGACCCCGACCCAGTTCTGTCGTCGGCTTGAGCTAGTGTCCTAGTACCAGTCGGGGATGTCGCGGCTACAGGACGGTATTCAGATATTTTTGATGTTGCAGAGCCCTTTATCTCGGTTCCCTTAAGACATTGGTGTATATGGTACTAAGAAAAAATGCTTATGTTTTCAAGATCTGCACGTCGTGTAAAGGAAAACCCCAACTTTGCGGACACCCTGTATTGTTTGTACCTTGGCATAGACTGCTGTTCGATAGTATAGATATACAAATACAATACATAAAACGGAAGGTTTTCTGCGTTCCGATTTCACTAATCTTCTAAAAATGGACACAGGTTAATAGTTAAATACCTGGTATTTCAAATTCGACCATTGAGATCAAGCGAATGGTGAGTCGCTTAAATGGGGGCATAGTTGCGTATTTAGCTAATCGCCAAAATGCCGCTTAGAATGTTTCGAAATTCAAAGTATTTCCGGAAAGAGACGGAAAAAATCGAATTTTCCCAAAATGGATTTTAGTTTTCTCCAGACTTTTTTGCATTAATTGGAATTTCAATGTGATGTTTTGTCTCTTATCTTCCAGCGTCAACTTAGTAGTTTTTTGCAGTGGATGAATAAAGTTTTTAATTTGGATTCTAAAAATGCGTCCTGATGTAATTTGAGATGGGATTATCCTCCTCTACAAGATGGTGTAGTCAGATTTTCAATTCGAGATTTCTTCGTTCGATTTCCATCACCAACTTTGTTTTTTCAAATGAACGCTATATTGGAATTTTGTACATTTAAATGGACTTTTCAGCCATAAATTCAGTGATGTATTAACCTCAGTTAGCTACGAATTTGTTGTTGGATAAAAATTTTGGGGAAATAAAAAGGCATGGTGAAATCTGAACACCTAATGAAAATTTTATTGATGGTAATAACAATAATCATAAGTAACCAGATGTGTGAAACATAGCAAATGTTCAAAATGTTGTCCGTTGTTTTAACGACAAGGCCTGAGTCTTCTCTTTAATTGTTCACTACTCGATTTATTTCCCTTCTTCTCAGTCTTCTAAACTCTGTTACTATTTACTATTTGAGGTCTAGTCTGGTATACGAAACAAATGACTAATTTATAATTCCAAGGTCTACCTAGGAACTTCTGTTTTTCTTGAATAACTGAGGCTACATTTTTGTAATCAGAATTGAAAACTGTTCGTCTGCGCAAAAATCCATAAGAAAAAATAAAGTTGATGCTGGAGGACAAGAGACCAGAGACCATATTGAAATTCCAATTATACCATCTTGTAGAGGAGAACATTTATTTCAACATCGCACTACAAATGAAGTCATAAAACAATTATCACAATTTTAGGTAAATTCGTTTTTTTCCTGCCTCTCTCCTGAAGTACTTTGTATTGCGCAGCTTTCTAAGCGAAATTTTGTTAGTCAGTTTAGGACACCTAAAGCTATACTACCCACTGAGGAGAATCGTGTGAAAAGGACCGAGGATGGATGGATTCCAATTTCAGGCCTAACTCGAACATTAACGAACGGTGGTGCATCACATTTTTTTGGTGCGCTGAATCCACATATGTCTTTAGTTTCATTGTAGATTTAGGGGCTCAGAAGCACTTTTTCCTACAAAGTAATACCACAGGCGTCAAGTAGGTTGAATCTACACTTCCCACGCAATGCCGTTATCAGTTAATAAAGGATTATGTTCGGTACAAGTTCGACCATATCGAAATAAAACAGTGCCATAGACCTTATATCATGGATAGAGGATAGTTGCTAAGCTTTCATTCGTTGTCCGAGAGACTAGGCCTAGACCATGCTGATGAGCTACCAGAAAAAGCAAGAAACAATTGTCCTTGGTTGGCTATCGTCGGTTGGAGAGACGAAAGCAGCATGTTTAAGTTACCTCTAAGAAAAAGGTTCGTTGCGAACATATATAATAATCTAATCACATTAGCAAATTTCTCCGAAATAATTGTAAAGTCTGGTTTTATTGGTGCGAGTTATTCCAGGGGGTATTTAAAACATAAACGCATAAAACGGGTGCACCAATATTTGTGGAAAATTTTTTTATTTAACAACAAAGAATGAGAAAACGTGTTTTTTTTGGGATTCAATCAAAAGTTTTGACAGGAACGAATAAACTTTCCATACAAGATTTTTAAGTACTCACTAGACCTACAAAATGAGACCACACGTAAAAAGGTCCGACTAATAGTAAAAATGTTATGGCAGAAAAACGAGGCAAAATGCAGGTTTTGGCACTTGTTGGTAATGCGATGATAGTTTCACGCAACAACTTGAAATTCTTCAAATCCGTAGGATTCATAATTCTAAATAACAACAAAATTGGAGTATACTGATCAAGTAATTTTTTGAGAATTTCTATTGTTTGTCCCAAAACACCTGTTTTCCTGCCATCACTACTAGTTTATTAAGCAATATACAGGGTTCGCTCAAAAAGCATTTGATAGAAAAATACACGTGCTTACCTTACCAATATGAATCACAAAACATTCCGAAGGGTACATGTTATTTTTATGCGAAAAACGAAGGTTACGTGTTTTTCTTCTAAACAAATTCAAACATTTCGTATTTGTGAGTAATCGAATAGATGCGCTACGATATCTGAAAAAAATACGTGACTATACACATTTTAAAACAAATCGGATGTGTCTATCATCTTTTGTTGCAAATTACTCACAAATACGAAATGTTTGAATTTGTTTAGAAGAGAAAACGTAACCCTTCCTTCCTTGCATAAGAATAACATTTATCTTCCAGAATAGTTTGCGATTCATATCGGCAAGGTAAACTAGTGTATTTTGCAATAAAATGCCCTTCGAACTAACCCTGTATATTGCTCAGTAAACTAGTAGGGATGGCCGGAAAACAGGTATGTTGTGGTTATTTAGAAGTACGAATCCTACAAGTTTTAAGAATTTCAAACATCTGCGAGGAACCATCGTCGCATTACCAACAAGTACCAAAACCTGCAGTTTGCCTCGGTTTTAGGCCATAACTTTATTGCCATTAGTCGAATCTTTTTACATGTGGTCTCATTTTGTAGGTCTTATAAATACCTAAGAATCTTATCTGAGGAGACTTATGTTCCTGCCAATACTTTCAATTGAATCCCAGAAATCACGTTTTCTCATTATTTGTTGTCGAATAAAAAGTTTTCCCACAAAAATTGGTGTACCCATTTTATGCGTCCATGTTTTGAATGCCCCCTTGAAGCAATAAAACCAGACTTTACCATTATTTCGCGAACCATGGATATTTTCGTCTAATATGATTAGACTACAAAAAAAAATAAACGGATCAAGTCCGTCAAACCTTTTTGAGAACGAATTCAATTAGGTAAGAGAGGATAGAGAATGAACTAATATTCATTGGTACTATTAAAAGTACCACTAGGATTGTGGAGAAATTTTGACACAAACTTGCAACCACGACATAGACGAAAATAGATGAAAAATCATTTTAGCTTTCATAATTGGACGCCTTTTTGCAGGAAGGAATCAACCCACTAAATATTAAAAATCTAGATTTTAGGAAAATAAACTATTACGAGCAATAGCAATTACTGTAAAACAGATCCATACACATATTTAAAGACTTTAGTATGCCACTAATCAAAATCGTGTTTCGTCTGAAATGAATTTGTTAACATTGTCAAAACTTTAAAGTCTAATCGATCAATAATTGTTTTTCTGTGTTGGTTCCTTTCAGCAAGAAGCCGTCCAATTGTGTATGACATTAAGAGTGCGGAATCCGCGCATGATTGAACGGGCTATCAAATTGCAGTCCATACACATTAGGTAATAGAAACTAAGTTTTTTCCAAACAAAAATTATTAGAAGTCATACCGCGCCAATGCTCCGGCTATTAAGTTAATTGCCGCCTATACGATTGCAAAAGATTGGTCACATCTTCTATCCCTTCCTATTTCCTTATTTGTCTTCCTATCATCACTTTTTACTTGATGTATATATAAATCAGGGCCTAATCCCCCATCAATTGTCCGTCTTTGGGAGCGGCAGACAGCGGTAATCGGGTTATATTGGCTGATACCACCCGATAGTCCGTCCTGTTATAGCTTATAGCGTTTATACCCTTTTCATGTCGGTTCGGCATTATAGATTCCCTATCTTAATAAGTGGCTTCCAGAAATTTACTACGGCCGGATTATGACGTCATAATGTTGTCGTTTCTTTATCCCTCCCACAGCTAACGTCGTCCCTCACCTATAAATATCTTATAAGGTTATCGGCTAGGTGAGGTTTTATTTCCGGCAAATATACTGTGTGGTTATTTTGGTCGAGCACCTTTACACCCTGAAGTACATAGCGGCGAGGAATATAATAGCAAAGACAATAATCGCAACAGTCTTGTCAGTTTAATGCTTCCAAAACACAGTATTGTACCTTGACGAACAAGAAGCGTCCCAGAGCTTTTCGGGTTTGATAGATGGCCGTATTGTAAAAAACAGCTGTTCATTTCAGCTGGTCAGAGTCCAGATCAGCGACGACTTGATCTAGCATGAACACGTCTCGTCAATAACGGCAGCTAGGATATTTGTTTAGGGCCAAGAAATACGTTTCTCCACTCTGTACAAGGCCCAGATAAGACCTAACCTCAAGTATTGCTCACATGGTTGGGGTGCTGCCACGTAAGCTACAGTATCTATGTTCGATGCTACTTAGAGGAGGGCTGTCCAACTGATCGATTATTCTTCTCTAACGGGCAGTCTCGAGACCCTTTCTCACCGTCGGGCCATCGGCAATCTAGCACTATTTGTGTGCCATAGATTACTGTGATGTAAATATCACAAAACGCCCAGGAAAGCTCGAAGCTACTTTATCTAATTCTAAAACTATCAAGACGCAAGGTAGGTAGACCAGTTGGTACTTCTTTATTTTTTTTTTCAAATAATCACATCTTTCCATCCCATTTACAGTTTATATCTGATCACTATAGCTCAAAATGTACCACTTGATGATTTTGACAGTATAGTTAAGAAGGAAAACCTCTGTATTTCCCGAGTAGTTGCACCACTGACCTGATGAATAAGATAAACATTTGAAACACTGATATTTTCAAATATCTAATATTTCATTATTTTTTTGAACGACTGTGGTCGCCAACCCGTCGATCGCGAGCTACCGGTAGCTCACAAAGGCTTCTTCTTCTTCTTGATCGGTAGCTCGCAAAGGCAATTTTGGTGTCCCACAACATATTTTAAAGAGATGTAAAAATCATAGAAGCTCCCGTAAATTTCGTTAATTCGCATAATAGACACAAGCACCGGCAACACTGCGGTGAGCGATCTCTTCGAGAACGATCTCGATTACTTTGAACGGAATAAATACGCAAGGTGCGGCGACAGTGCGCTCAGTTTAAAACTGAACGGCACAAAGTCCAGCGGTTGGGCTAGAGTTGGCTGCACGTGGTCTCAAGAATTAAAATCCATATGTGCATAGAAGGCACGAGCTATACATTGTAAGTTGTAGGTCATTCTCAGGTTAAATTTTCCATTTTCTAACCAGTACTTTTTAAGCCTTCATTTATTATACTTAGTGTAGATCTATTTAGCCTTAGCGATCTGTGATGCGGCCGAAAAGATAGTTATAGATAGATCAGCCGCTAGTTTAGTTAAGTCACAAGCCTTAGCGCCTCATTTTAAATGATCTGTAGTGTTATATTTTAAAATCCTTAAGTTTAGTTTTGGTCCAGTTAGATGTAATGGCCACGCACAGGTTATCCTTTAGTGGTTAGTACTTCCTCTGCTATACCATATTCTATGAGTACAATCCATACTTCACTTACATATATGGAATTTCACTCAAATCCATTTACATCACCCATTTGTTAATTAGAATAAAAAAAAGTATTTTATTGTGTTACGTCATCGTTAGTATGTAAGTATTTTCTGTTTTCCTTTACCCGCACACAAGGGCCACCCTTCTGCGGGCTCTTCATTTATTTGTCCTCTATAAAATTCTATGTGTAATGGTTGTGTATTTTGGAGACAAATAAATATATTATTATATTATTATTAAAAACATTATGAGCAGTAGTAAGAAGATGAAGACATTCCATTCGGTATGGGAAGAACAATATTTCTTAATAGAAGTTAAAAGTAGAAACGTATGTTTGATATGTAATACATCTGTTTCCGTTTCTGAAAAAGGGAATATCGCGAGGCACTATAAAACTGTACATTGGAATTTTGGAAAATCATTCCCATTACGCTCTGCAATCAGAACGGGAAAGCTAGAACAATTAAAAAATCAGATAACTGGACAACAGACAATGTTTTTAAAAACAATCGACACAAGTAAAGCTGCAACTGAAGCATGATACTGGATGTCCAAGATAATTACACAAAAGAAGAAACCTCATAGAGACAGAGAAAAGATAAAACAGGTGTTGGAGATAGTGTCTGCTATGAGATCTATGAAACTGTCTGCTAATACAGTGATGAGACGAGTAGAAATAATGATCAATGATATAGTTTTACAGTTAAAAAACGACTTCAATGACTGTGCTTATTTTTCGCTGCAGTTGGATGAATCCACAGATGTCGTTGACCCCTCTCTTATGGCCGTGTTCGTCAGGATGGTTTTTCTTGATTTTACGATAAAAGAAGATCTTTTGAAGTTTATATCACTAAAAGGATAGACTACTGGGCAGGACTCGGTTTCTTCTTTTAAAGATATTATTTCTTCTGAGAAAATTCCAATATCGAAAATGGTAGGCTTCACAACCGATGGCGCTCCAGCTATGGTGGACCGTGATAAAGGTCTCGTGGGATTATGTCATAAAGATTAAAGTTTTCTGCAATTTCTCTCTTACCACTGCATTATCCATCAGCAAACATCATGTGGACATTTTTTAAAACTAAACAACGTTATGAAATTGGCAGTAAAAACTGAGAACAAGATTATAGCTTAAGCGTTACAAATAGGATTATTCAAAACCTTGGCCGATGAAATTGACTGTCAATACGGAGAACTACTTCTTCACTCTGAAGTCCGGTGGTTAAGTACGGGACGGATGCTGAAACGCTTTAATGATATCATATCTGCCATGATTCAATTTTTTAAACAACATGATGAACCGATTCCGGAACTGGAAAATTCAATCTGGCTTAGAGATTTTGGATATTACAGAAAAATTAAATGAATTTAATTTGCAGTTTCAGGGGAGAGACAAGGACTAGCAAAAATTATTTCTGATATAAAAAAGTATATCGAAAAGCTTGAGTTTTGGCAACAAAGCTCAATCGATGGCGTTAGCAGGCATTTTCCTGTTCTTTCAGAAAAGATATCTCAAAGTCCATTAGAACCATATGACAGTAAATATCATGTAGAAATAGTCTCTAACTTGAAGGATAACTTCAAAAATCGTTTCAAAGATTTCAACGAAATTGCTGTAGTGGCGCAATTTGTTGTTTCGCGCTTCATGGAAATTGATGTCCAACAGATTGCAACTTCTGTTATGCAGAATTTTAGACACCGCTGCGACAGAAATGGAAGTGATTGCGTTTCAAAATTATTTAGCTTAAAAATCATTAGTCTCAAATAGTCTCAAGTGTATCTGGCCTTCAGTAAGTAAAGATAAATATTCAGTATTATGTCTATGTTCGTGATTTGGAGGGGACAGTATAATATTTCCAAAAGATTGGCGTCAAGTATATAGAGCCAGTACCCATTTTATTTTTGAAAGTTTCTATTTGCTGCAGTTGTAAAATGTCGAGGCCTCCTCTGAAGCGGCACAGTAAGTAATGTGTTTTTAAAATTGTCCATGCAATAAATAGCATAAGTAGAAACCCAGACAGCAATAAGCAGAACAATATACACTTAATAGTATTTTTGAAGTCGACAAGCAATTTTCAAAAACGCTAAGTGTGATACAAACGAGAATATCATATTTTCACACCCATACCGAAAGCTCGTACAAATACTGTCATATTTGCTGAGCGACTTCAAGCGCTTTGCGTTTTGTAGAACGAAAATATTGGCCCAATAAACTGTTCGGGCTGTTATTTTAACACACGTCATAGTAGCTGTAGAATCAGATTCTGAACTTTTGCCTGGAAAACTTTGAAAAAGGTCACCGAAGTGGCCGAAACGTCAGAAAATAATTCAACGTCTATAGTTTCATTTGGAAGCCAGTAACACATAGAGGTCAGTGCGCATGTTCTTTTAATTCTAAATATATTCACTCAGAAAATAAAGATAATACAAAATTGGAAAAAGTCAACGTTGAAATTGAGTTACAAAGTGAGCAACAATCATTATATCGATTGGCAGCATTAAAAAATCACGAAAAAAAGTAAAAGAAGAACATCATGAAATGCCTGGAAATTACGGTAAACCACGTTCGGTTAATGAAAACAGAACGCGAAGTTCTTAGCGCTCGCTCGCGTCTGTATCGGGAGCTTCGTTAATTCCCAGAACGTGACTGAAATGTTTTCGGCTCTGATGCCAACCGCCACTGTACAGCTGTCGCAGTTTTATGGTGTTTGGTAAACAAAAGCTTTATATAAATGTGCTTTTCATATGGTGTTCTCTTCGTAAGTTTAAAATAAACACCTTTCTTGTACAATGTGTGATGAATATACAAAATGTATTATTACTCATATTTTGTAAAGTTGCCATTGGAATTACGGTCTTATATACGAGTAGATCCACCGTCACTAATCAAGGAAGAAACAGAGCCTATAAATAGGGACTTCTCGATTATCTTGTCCACAACTGCCTTAATTGCGCCCCTCATCAGAAATGTGGTTTGAGTCACAGATTTGTGAAGTCCGTCCTTTTGATGTTACCAGGACTCATAATAAGACACATCCACCCCCCCCCCCCTATTTTTTTTCATTTACAGAAAAATGCTGCATCTACCTATGGGCCATTAGCAGCTTGTCCTGTTTACGGTTTATGTCCTTAAGGTATCTATCAATATTATCTACGTCGTAGTTTGGACCTATAATGTCGCAAGTCGTTGAGATTATTACTAATATTGTTAGCTACTCTTTGATGGTTTATTGAAAGGCACTCCACTCACACTCACAGTCAGACGCGCCTCACAAACTCTTCATATTGGCTCCTGTTCACCTGCGATGAGAAATTCGAGGGTCGCCCTTGTGTTGCCAATGCGTAAACGGGTTATCAGCAGTTGGTTTGTTCTATTGGAGGTTGCTGCTACCATTGGTCCGAAATTTGGCTTAAGCTCTAGCAGCTTCGATTGTCATGCTTGCCGTTCCGTACGTTCTATACCAGATAACTCACGTGCTTTTGATATCCGCCTGGCGGTTTTTAGGTTTATAAAAGCATCTGAAGTTGAAGCCTCTTTAGCATTTTGGTCTGCCAATTCGTTTCCACCGATTCCATCGTGAACCCAAATAAACGAAATGTCCTTACCACTAGTCAGAATATACTCAATGACATTAGTTGTTACACCCAGAAGACTTATTTTCTTCAACTTGTTTTTTGGCAACATAATGACTATATTTGAAGCATGCTGTAATAACAATGTTTTCGTTTTATCTTTGTATTTGTTTCCCTTTGTTGAAATGTTATCTCTGACTTTTTGTGAAGACGGCAGTTGAGAGCTAAGTAGTAGAGATATTATTTGTTATTGCAATTTCATTTACTAGTGTTAAGCATAACAAAATGCCTCGAATTTGTGGACGTCCAAATTATCACCATGTTAGCGACTTTGACAAGGGTAGAATTATTGCCTATCGCGATGTTGGTTTGTCCTATCGCTAAACTGACCACCGTGTTAATTGTACTACAACGACGGTAATGCGTGTGTGTCATGTGTGGATAGAAGAAGGTAGAAGCACACTAAGAAGGCCATCTAATCCACCGTGGCATACCACAGAGCATCAAGACCGGCGCCAGTGGTTTGGAGAAAAAAGTAGGCCTGTTACCTCTCTAGCCGCATTCAAGCCTTTAGACTCTTTTCATACCGTCCACGATTAGTGCTTCCTCTGACTGTGGACCACTGTCGTTAACGTTTGAACTGTAGCAGAGAACACCAACAATGGGAGGCAGAATGGCATAATGTCATCTCAGCGACGAACCGCGATTCTGTCTAGGTACGCACGATGGTCGTAGAAGGGTAAGACGGCGCCGTGGAGAAGGGCGTGATACTGGATTTGCTGTTGACAGATATACACAGAGCTGTTGGAGTAATTGTTTGGGGGGCTATTGCTTATGGTAACCAATCACCCCTTCTCTTTGTGCAAGGCAATATGACTGCTGCGCGTTATGTTGATGATGTCCTACAAACCACTTTACTGCCGTATCTGGACGGCCGTCCACACGTTAGCAAGGCAACGTACGTACGCATATTGCTCGTCGTACTACTGACTTTCTTCAAAAAGCAGGCAGTGATGTTTTACCGTGGCCACCCCGTTCACCGGATTTAAATGGCATGGAGCATGTCTGGGATATGATGGGGTGGAGATATACTATTCGTCATTTGTTTGTCTGTGCGGTCCGTAGGACCATTGCCCATTAATCTGTCAGTACTCGATACCCAGAAACCAGACAATGTCAAGAAAAAAGAGAAAAGGAAAGAGAAGAAAAATGGAGAAGAGCAAAGAAAAACAGAAGTGTTTAGCTTAAGAGGAGACACCTAGGCTTTTTGACTTGGTACACGGATCAATTTTGGGGTGAACTAAACAGATTTTTGATTCAATTTTGTTAGAGTGTACTTTTAAGTGTACTAAAACTTCTACTAAAAATCCTTGAATGTTTACGAAGTTGCCCCACTGTGTAGTCTAGTGACTCGCGCAACAGAGGGTTGCTGTGTGATTCCGCTTAACTATAACATCGCTGCGCCTGAAGTTTGACATAATCCCTCAAGTAAGGAATGTCAAGGTCTCTGTGTAGTGTCTCGTTTGAGACATACCGTGGAGCGTTTCAAATTGTTCGCAAAGTTCTACTTTGCAGTACTTGAAGACTTTGCATATGTGTCTTGGCAAGAAAACACCAAGCCGCACATGCATAAGTAATCGCTGGTCTAATAATCATTTTATATAGGCGAACTTTGTTTATCAAACTCAATTTGGAGGATCTACATAACAATGGATGTAGTTGCCGAAACGCAATTTGGAATTTTGTTTTCAAGGCTGCTGTATGTTTCTGCCAGGTCATGCTTTTATCAAGGGTGACACCGTGGAACTTGGCAGAATTTGTCCATGGTACACGATTGTTGTCTACAGATACCTCCGCTGGGGGGGCCGCGACGTTTTATGGTACAACAAATAGCCACTGGACAACAAATTTTAGTTTTTTAATTGTATCTTGTGGGAATAGTGCACTTCTTTGTTAATTTTGGGGCGCTGAATCCAAAAATGACAATGAAATAAAAAAATTAGTTGCGGTTTAGAAAAAAAACTTTTATTTTTAAGGATATATTAAAAAAAGTAACAAGATTCATATACTTATAAGAATCACTATATGCGCTGCCTTTTTGCTGTTCTTTTATGGATCGTTTCTGGAGCATCTCTACCAAGAGTCCAACAGTAGTCTGCAAGCATGGAAGGATTCCACTTTCCCTGGTACCTTTTTTCCATTGTTGAAATATCCTGATGAAAACGTTCGCCGTGCTCATCACTAACGGCTCCGCAATTGTCAGGAAAAAAGTCCAGGTGTGAGTGTAGGAAATGTATCTTAAGAGACATATTACAGCCTATCTTTTGATACGATGACAGCATATTTCTGACAAGGGTTTTATAGTTGTCAGCTTTTCTATTTCCCAAGAAATTAGTGACCTCCAGACGGAAATCATTAAAAGCAGTTTTTTCAATACCTGTTAAAGTGTTTTCAAACTGTGTATCTTTCAAAATATTTCGAATCTGTGGCCCAACAAAAATACCTTCTTTAACCTTTGCCTCACTTAGTCTTGGAAATTTCTGACGCAGGTATTGAAAAGCTGACCCATCTCTATCTAATGCCTTGACAAAGTTTTTCATTAGGCCCAACTTGCTATGCAGTGGTGGTAATAACATTTTTTTCGAATCTACTAATGGCATATGCTGTACATTTTTTTGACCTGGCTCTAGGAATTGACGAACAGGCCAGATTTGTCTGGTGTAATGAACTGTCCCATTCACACAAAAAACAGCAAAACTTTGTGTAGCCTAGCTGCAGCCCAAGTAAAAGTGTAACAACTTTCAAATCGCCACAAATATGCCATTGGTGCTCATCGTATTTTATGCATGTCAATAGGTACTTCATATTGTCATATGATTATTTCATGTGAACTGCATACCCTACAGGAAGAGATGGTAAAATATTTCCAATATGCAATAACACTGCCTTTAAACTCAATGTTGAACTGTCTATGAACAATATCCATTCTTCTGGGTTATAGTTTATATTTAAAGCCTCCAGTAAGCCATTAATGTTACTGCAGAAAACAAGTTATTCTCCATATTGAAAAATGGTTCTAAGTCTTTGTGGCGTTTACGAAAAACACATACCGAAACATCGTCTTCTAACAAGTTCCACTGCCGCA